ATGGAACAAAATCTTAATTACCCTTCTATTTTTCGTCTTTTCGATCCTAAAAAAGGGTCAGTGCAAGGTGCAAACTCTAATTCTATGTTTATTAATGCCCTCCAATGAGCTAATAACAAGAGGGAAGGCTATAAAATCGACTCATGAACGCAAATTTTATGTTAGAGAAGACGAATTTATAAAATTTGAAGAGAAATAGAAATAAATTTTCAATAAAAAATATAAAATAATATTTAAAATAGATGAGAACTCCATTTTCGGTCCATCCATCCACATATTGTCAAAAAAAATATAACTAACTTCCCTTAAAATTAAAAAAAAATCATTACTTCCCTTAATATTTAAAATAGATGAGAAACTCCAGGTTCTTAAATACTTTTAATTAAGTCTCTTTAAAATTGTCAAATTTTTTCATAAAACCTCTAAAACCTTTTAAATTTTTTAATTAAACCCTTAATGTCTTTTAAATTCTAAATAAGCCCCCAGAATTGGTTAGTTTAATTTGGTTCAACAGCTCAGTTTAGGCCTTTTTCAGGTCCCATTTTTTTATCCCCTCTACGTCTAATTGATACTTTTCTTAAAAATCTTTTACCAACCACAGTTTAATCTCAAATATTATTTTTGTCAATCATGTAACAACGGTTTAATTTAATGCAGTTATTGAGCATTGTATATATTTTAGGTCATAAGTTCGATCCTCTAGATCCAATCCATATATTTTTAAAATTTTTACCAATAAAATAATAACACATATCAGCATCATATTGAAGGATTAAATTTGTTAAATTAATTTGAATTAAAACGAAGATCAAACTGATATGATTTTTTTAATATTGAGGGTTAAATTTATTATTGAATTAATTTTAACTATGATCAAGTTGTATAATACATAAGTTTTGAGGATTAAAAATATTAAGTTTCTAAACGCTGGTGATGAATTTAGAAAGAAAACATAATGTTAGTGATGAATATATCAAAAGCTAATTCAATAACTAAACAGATATGTGATCATAGTTGCATGCTTAAATAGGTTGTTTACCTTAATTATATTTTTTTTTATTTTTTTTAAATAATTAGTTTCCATAAAAAATTTAGAAATTTCGTCTTAAAATTAATGAATATTTTTAATCAAATCCCCTTAAAATCACTAAAATTCCTTATTAAACCTCTAAAAAAAATTAATTTTTTTATTAGACCCTCAAATTTTTTTTTAAAAAAAAATCCTTATTAAATCCCTCATTTTTTATTAGTCCTCCCAAACTATCTCGTTAAGATCCACCCCTAAGTACAATTATAATTACATTTACAGTTAATATATATGAATCAAAATATATCTTAATCTAACCTTGAATAATATGTTAGAATAAAAAGATTATGATATGATACAAATCTAAATAATCAACATATCATATCAAATAAGCGAGAATAAAAATTAGATGCAGAAACATAATTGGATTTATCAATTCGCTTGATTCTTAATGTTAAAATATTGAAACTTTGGTTTCGATAATCAAGATTAGCATACGAGTATTTTTTGAGACAATGGCTCGTTCTTTTCCTGAAAATAAGATGTCATCAAAGTTAATTCATGAACAATTTGAGGTATAACCCTAATAAATAACTTAGCACGTTAACCTTAATTTCTATTAATCAATCATCAATTAGAAATTAATTTTTTTAGTATCTAGACATATGTAGATTATACTTTATTTTTTTTTTTTTTTTTTGAAAAATGGATACTTTGTATTAGATAAAACACAAAGCTACACCACCCCAAGGGAGGAAAAAGAGTAACCTTGGAGTGGAAGAACCAATCAGCCAAAGACTGAAATACATCACAGCAAGGACCGACTCTACACCACTAAAACAGCCCATAGCAACCTCAAACAAGCTGCAGACTACCTTTTGAATGAAACACAAACAAAACTTACGCACATTCAAACAGACCGAAAACAAACTAACGCCTCAGAACAAAAACCATAAAAGCAGCAGCCTTACTGATGGAAGACAAGAATCACAACCTCAAACACCTTCATGAAGACGAGAACAACAAAAAATGCAATAGCCTTGCTTAGAACAGAACTGAAGCTTGAAGAATGGGAACCAACGAACAGCAAGGAACCTTCTCATCCCTGTAAATTCCACCCCAAAGCAGCGGCAGCCGCTAGAGCCAACTCCGCTTCATCATATACGCCTCGAACTTCCTCGTAATCCACTTCATCTCTGCCTCCAACAAGATTGCGTCTACTACTAACGTTTGGCCTACCATCCCGACACCTTCGATCGAAGATTTTCCTCTTTCCAAAAATGAGCCTTGACGACGCTCTCAGACTGACCCCACACGCCCATCGTCTTCTAACTTTAGAAACTCTAGCAACACTCGAAGAACTGGGGATAATAGGCCTCTTAAGAGAGCTCCCAGTACTTAAAACGCAATTAGCTATCGGATGTTTCTCATCCAACACGAACAAGGAAGACACCTCGTCAAAAGCCACATCAAAAATCCTAGTGCTGGTGAGGAAGGGTTGAGACTCCCATGTTAGCTCCAATTCCCTATTAATATTAATTAAAACAGCACTATCGTCAATAACATGCTGCTCACAACTGCACCCCACGAAATCAGCTGCATGCTGTCCCCCTTCATCCATAAAATCTTTGACTTTATCGATAATAACATGCTCCTCACTAAGCTCATTAACAGAGGAGAAAGGCACAACATGGAGCCCTGCACGGTCCACATTATCAACTACACTTTGTCCCCCACATCCAAAAAAACATTGTTTTCCTCTCACCTCTGACATACCAACTGTCCATGCTCTTGCGCGACAACACCCCCCACGTTACTTCCTCTTGGAGCACCCACCACCTCGAAAGCGGAAAAATTTGAACCTTCTTCAACCTCAGCACACCACTCTCCATCTTCCACCTTAGTTCCATCGAGCAATACTTTCGCCTCTTCCTGCACTACAGATTGAACGATAATGGAGAAAAAACGACCTTCAACAACAATGGATAATTTGTCAGGAATAGATGAAATGGAGTGAACTTCCAGTAAAACTCTAGCAACATCAAACCTAACTCGTCTGGCAGTATCTTCATCTACCTTAATCACTCGTCCCCACAAGCATCCAATGGCGTTGAACAGCTTAACACTCCAAATCGAAGGAGGAACATCTTTCAGAGAGACCCACACTTTAAATTTAAGCCTATTATCATAACCCTCCAACAGATCCAATTCATCGAACCAGGAGCGAATCCAAACATCTCTTTTTACCCAACAAGCCTGACAATCGATAACATTCTTGAATTGGATAATCAGCAAACGATCTTGCCAACAGCTAACCTTAACATTCAAACCTTCAGCTTTGAAAGTTGATTTAATAACAGTCTCGTTCAAACTGTGCTTAACTTTGCCAACCAAGCAACTTTCCCTCCAAGAAAGCTCACTCTTAGAGATAAGAACATTCCTATTCTCCACAGAAGGAAAATAAGAAGAACTAGCTTCGCACTCGTCAGCAACCCTAACATGAACAGCTGCATCAGGACCGCTATGAATCCCAACCTTCTGGCCAACAATATTCTGAACCGACAGCCCATCTTCAGCCAATGCACCACCCACAACCTCTTTCGACAACCTAGCACCCTTAACAGCTGGCTTCCAAACCTTGTTACGACTGCAAATCTCCTCTACCTTCTTGCTACGACTATCCGACAGATATTCATGAAAAACTCTGATCTTAAATCCATCCAACACCATTCCATCAGCTCTCTTAACCGCCAAACTTGCTTCAAGTCTAGTTTTGAACCTAACGAAAGCAAAAGTAGAGTCCACGAATTTTCTTTTCAAACTCTTAAACGCTATGAACACATCCAAAACAACACCATATACCTGAAACACTTGCTTGAGAAAAGAAACATGAATCCTCTTGCTAACGAAATTGACAAAAATCGTGAAGCCCGAATCTCTCAAGGTTTGGGAGCTCGACTCACACCCACTCACCATGTATTCACTCAAATATGTAGTAGCAAATCTTTACTTTTTATTGCTTGCTCTATTCTATACTTTACTTTATTTAGTTAGTAATATATACAAACTCTTTTATGATAGTAAATAATATATAAGTATTTATGTCAAAACCGCTTTAAATAGTTAATGACATCAATGGTAAGGAAGACGATATTAAAACAACATCGTTCTAAAAAAGTTAAATTGACACCAAAACGATATCGTTTTGGATTTTTATAAAAATCCATTTTTTAGTCAATTTTCTAAAGTCGTATATATTTTAGATATTTTGTTTGTATTTTCTATTGAAAATCTATTTTTACCCTTGAAATCTTATAAGTTCGTCTCCTCCTAAAATATTATAAGTTCGCCCCAACATAAATTCATGTGTCCATTCTTTCGTTCTTGAATACAAAAATGCTATGAAATATTTTTTTTAATTAATATCTCTCTTACTTTTATTTTACAATCCATAGAAATCACATCTTTTTGGAATTTGTAACTTCTTTTAGCAATTTTATTTTCAAAATTTGTATTTAAAATTTCCATGTTCCTAGTGTATAGAACTCTAGTTGAATGAATTTCACTCAATATATCTGTAAAGGGGGTTATTAAATGCATCTTTTTCATGGGCAAAACGCAACAGCATAAACCATGATCAAATATGAGAAAATCATAAATAAATACCTTCATAGATGAACGTGAGCTTTTATGTTAGGTATGAATTTATAAAATTTTAAAGATGAAAATAAATCATCAACAAAAATACAAAAATATATAAGAATTTAATTTTTTTTATAAAGAACGATTGCCTCCACCCGCCCCTTAAATCCATCCTTGAATACACCAGACAATTCTTGTGGACATGAAATATCATCTTTATGAAGACGAATTAGAGACCACATGACAATTCAAACTATCACTATATTCCCATAATTCGTACGGTGGGACTACTTTAATTTCCAAAACTAAGGTCCCCAACCAATTTGTGAATATATATATATATATATATATATATATAATTTAGAATTCTGAAAGTTCAACCGAAACAAGAACCACAAACATTTCAATCACTTATCTTAGGCATTGAAAGATAGGGGAGACCTAACAAACGTGTGTGTATATATATATATATATATATTAATAAATCTAGGGTGAATACAAGTTAGTATTTTTATTCAAAGATTCTCAATCATTTGATAATGAACGTTCATACCCATGCATATATGTGGTGGTTGAACCCGAGACTTCAAGAGATAATAACAAATCTCTTTAACCACTGAAGTCGCTTGATTCGTGTAAACATGTGTGTATATATATATATATATATATCAGTAAATAAACATTTTTAACGAGTGTAGGTTTACGCGTCTATATATATAAATATATATATATATATATTCAGTATTTTATCTATGCTACCTAAGGTATTTATATATATCATTTTCATCCTTGAATGAATCCCTTTTTTGTATTTCGTTGCTATCCAGCCAAATCATGAAGCAGCTGTGCACCCATCAAGTTCCTGTAAGGCAAATGCTGTCCTTCACCATCTAAAACTGAGTACTGATCTGGTTGACAATCTTCCATTTGGTCTCTAGGGTAAAACAGGGAGCTTTGTGCTGCTGGTGTGAAAGCTAAGCTCACCCCATTCCCATCATGCTGTTGTAACCCTAACGTCAATGACACGCCCGATCCTCCGTTGAAAATTTGGTTATTGGTATTACTAGTGTGATCATTTCCATAGGGTACCCCACCACCAGCTGCAGTTTGATGACTGTAGGAAGAGAAGTCCAAATCCATGGCACCATAAGTTGAAAATTCATGTTGTTGCTGCTGTTGTTGATGATGGTGATGATGAAAATCGTGCTGGTTCTCAACGGTTTTGGCATCGTTTTTATCCGGATTCGTAGTGATAATGGACGAGAGACATTCGGATTTGACACTAACAAGCTGGTCGGAGGTGGGTTTTCGATCGTTTTGATTAAGATGGCTGATATTATGATCATTAACATCAGTTGCTACATTAGGTGAGGCCATTTTGTTGTCATGCTCCTTTGCTTCTTCCAAATACATTTCTTCCACCATTGGCTTCCATAGTCTCACTCTGGCATTGATGAACCAATTGGATACCTATTGGAACACAAGTAAAAAACAAAAAATCATCTTATGATCATATATATATACTATATACCATATAGTATAAGATTTTGGTATATATGATCAAAGATCATGTGGACATGCATACCTGGCTTCTTGAGAGACCTGTTTGGCGAGCTAAGATATGTTTATCAACATCGCTTGGATATCTGCAAATATTGAAACATTTCAGCCATGGATATCTGCAAAATGCTTTGAAACTCGGAGAGAAAGAGGGGTTTTACGGGTGTAGAAAATGCTCAAATAACCAAGCTCGAAGAACCGAGACTGATCTTTCGGGTAGGCCTCTTTGGGGTCGCCATGGATGAGAGTCCATCATGTTCATCTGTTGAAATGCCCTTTGCTGCCTTAAAGTTTGATCGAGGATCCTTAGACTTGGTGTTTCGCCTCTCGTTGTCCCCGGTGCAACCGAGTCTTTTTCTCCGGTGGCCTTCCTCGTAGCTTGAATTTGACCGACGATGGCATCCCTTAGGCATCGAAAATGCCTTGACATGGCCTCGGATGCTAAAGCTGAATACACGGATGCTGCCCCAATGCTAGCCACTGATTCAAATGAATACACCACCGCTTTCATTTGATCACAGTAGTGCTTGTATCTTCTATCCACCTATACATGTGAACAAAGAGAAACCCCCATTTCAATCAAAGAAACGATCTTTGAGTAAAAGTACTTGATTGCATACCTCTTCCACCATTGAAAGCAGCTTGATTTTTCTTTTCTGCAACTCCATGAAATCAAGGGAATGAAGAAGGGATTGTTTCATTGAAGAGCTAGCTCCATTTTCGTCATCATGGGTCGGCAGCTTTTGTTTTGATGCATCGATTTGTTTAGTTCCCAGGCTGCAGAACTCTTTCAAAAGCTCTTGAGCAGGTCCCAAGTACTTTGAATTCCTCACCTGAAACTGCTGTTGATGATGTAAATTTGCAGGCTTTACAAAGAACCCATCTCGAGAACTTGATGAACCGATGAACCTTGTATCATCATGCTGATTATCATAGACATGGCCGTGGCCGCTCTGTCTTAGTTCAAAAGATTGTATCCCAATACTAGTGGGATTGGTCGATGAAAGAGAGAGTGAAAGACCTTGACTTGGCCTCTGGTTTCCCTCGCAAGGGAAAACGCACCTCAAAGAAGAATCGTCAACAAGCAACCTGTTTTCTTGCCAGGGAGCTGACTCGGGTAACGCAGTTGTGAACTCAGGTTTCTGGAACTCAGTTACTGCCTTGGAAGAAGGACCTGCAGCATTGTTACTTCCATTTTTGTTGAAGAACCCTACCATCTCCATGCCTGTTGTCAAGTTGAAGATCTCAGGGTTGGATTCAAAGCCTTGGATCTGATTCACGAGATGGGTTTGCATGGTTGAGTTACCAGATGAAGCATCCGAGTAACAAAAACCTGCTGAAGATACAACAATATTGTTCTTTGATTCATCATCACAAATTTCTCTAGCCATCTTCCCTCTAATGTTTATGCTTGTGCAACAAAAACAATTCCTTCAAGATTCACCCCAAGAACAAAGGGATTAAAACAAAGTTATGAATTATAGCTAATAAACAATGATCAAATCTTGTTAAAACAAGATATGGAACAAACTTAATTAAGAGAGAGGAAAGGGATGCCTTACCAGATGTGGAACAAGTTGAAACTTTGTTGTTAAAGAATCAACATATATGGATGAAAGGAGTTGAAGAAGAATAAGGAGAATAAGATAGTGGCCTTGGCCTTATATTTGTTTCACGGTGTGCCGTGAAAACACAAGCTGAGAGAAAATCTTGCCTACAAAAAGAAGTTTCAGATCCAGAGATGATGGGGGCCCTTGAGCAGCAACGACATGATCATATTCATACCCATCCACAAGTACATATTGATGAAGGGAGATGTTAATCGTTGTTGCTCTAATAATATTTCATAAAATTTATACTTGTAAAAATGTATAAATATTATATTCAAAAAATAAAATACATCAACAATAAAATATAGGGTAAATTACTTATTTGGTCACTCATATATTTTTTTCATTTTTATTTTAGTTTATTTAATTATGTTTTTTTAATTATATTTAAAATTATGTTCAGTTTCTGTTTTAATCGTTGATTTTTTTTTAAAAAAAAATTTGCTTTTTTGTGCTTGGTCGAGTTCTTTCCTTGCTGGGGAAAATACCCAGTAGGCCAATATCATATGTTAATAGGAGGCAAATTTATGAAAATAATATTTATTTACAATATAATAATAAAAATAGTATCTATATAATATTATTTTTGGAAATGATATCTATTTTGATTATGTAGGTTAAAAACGCTTTTAGTTGGGAGTATTTTTTATAAGACGCATTTAATTTGTATCGTCTTTGATCTATATGATCGAAATGGTGGAAGATACATTCAGTGCACTGTGTCTTCCATCACCAAAAGCCAGACGTCGGGTTAGAGAAGTCAGACATCATATCAGAGAAGTCAATCTTAACGGCAGCGATAAGACATGAAAGCTTATAAACACACAACAAAAAATTGATTGTAGATGCATGAAATCCATGCAACATCATAAAGTCATGGACAAAATTAATATACGGTTAATAGAATGTGTTATCAATTTTATTATTATTTTTTAGTAAAATTGATAAAAATTATTAAAATTATTATTATTTTATCGATTTTATTATTATTGGATGTTTTATCAGTTTTGTTAACATATCTAGTAAAGCGTTACCGATTTTGTTATTTTTCTACTGATTTTGTTATTTTTCCTATCGATTTTGTTATTATTAACACTTTACCAGAAATATTAAAAAACATTAATGTTTTAAGTAAAAATAATAATGTTTTAGGTAATTTTTACCGATTTTGTTAAAAAATAATAATAAAATCGATAGCGTCTTTTCTTAACCGTATATTAAGGCTGCCGCATGATAGAACTTCCTATGCAACATGCATCCGATCACAAGAGACCTACTACTAAAGATGAACAGAGGGAGCGTTGACCTTAAAAATTTTAAATTATTTTATACCTAATATTTTTTTTTGTATTTTTATTAAAAAAATTCTTTTTAAAATTTTAGAAGTTTGTATTCTTTTAAAATTTTATAAATTCACCTTTAATTTTTTTATTTGGTTTATTTATATTATGTTAAGATCAAACATAATAAATTAGAAAATTATATAATTAATTAGAAGAATAAGAAATGTTTTTAAAATAATATATTAAAATTTATATAAAACATTATTATGATATATAAAAAAAGAGAAAACAATCTCAGTGACCGAAAATGCCTTATAATATACGATTTTAACCAACTTTTTTTGGATTTGCGAAAATGACCAACAAATTCGCAACACGATCTTAAATTCGCAACGCGAACTCCAAATTCGCAACCCAATTTCCAAATTCGCAACGCGAATATGTAAATTGCATTTCGATTTTCCAAATTCGCGTTGCGATTTTCCAAATTCGCAACGCGAATCTGTAAATCGCAACGCAACTTTGTAATTCGCAACACAAAAGTCAAATTCGCAACACAGAAGTCAAATTCGCAACACATAAGTCAAATTCGCAACCCGATAGTCAAATTTGCAACACTGAATTCGCAACACAAAAGTCAAATTCACAACGCGAAAGTCAAATTCGCAACGCGATAGTCGAATTCGCAACGCAAATTTTATTTTATTTTCGAATTCGAAACACAATATTAATTTCGCAACACAAATGTAAATAGTATTATCGCAAATCATAACCTAAAACTCTAAATCACAACTCAGTCTATCTTCATCTCTCACTCTCTACGGCGACATCCGTCCCCATCTCCGACGAAATCCATCCCCATCTCCAAAAATCCGTCTATCTCCATCTCTCATAGCAACCCTCACAACCATTCACGGTCAGAAATGGAAAATCAACCACCGAGGGTTAGTTTTTTTAATCTCTTATTTTTATTTTGAAATTTTGTATTATTATTAGATTTTTCTTATATTAATGATAAATTTACTAGTAATTTCAATATATATAGATTAATCATTTCACTGAGATTGGTTAGTAAATTAATTCAATTGTTGCCAATACTGCTAAACTGTTTAGTCTTTAACCCTGTGAAGTTAGTATTTGTCTTTGTTTTTTGGTTGAAGTAATGCAATTCATTCAAGTTTCAATTTGCAGAATAAGAGTAGTTTCTGAAACTTAAATTCGCAACGCGAAAATGAAAATCGCAACGAGAAAATCGTTGCAAATTTAAGTTTCAGAAACTACTTTTATTCTGCAAATTGAAACTTGAATGAATTGCATTACTTCAACCAAAAAACAAAGACAAATACTAACTTCACAGTGTTGCTAATTTAAGTTTCAAGAATAAACTACTACTCTTTATGTTGTCCTTGAACCTGCACTAAACCTATATGTTGTCCTTTTATGTTTATATAAGTGCTTACTTCTGTAATGTTATCTGATGCTTTTGTGAACTATGATGGAATAATGACTTGGGTGAATACCGTGCTAGTTTGAAACATATTTGACTTTGTTTTCACTGTTTAATACATGTCTGTTTATAGTGTATAATTTGTAGTTTTTGGTATATCTAACTTGGTATGTTTATTATTTTTGTAGAAATTTGTTTCAGCTCAATTGACCTTAAGGAATAAATTAAGCCTAGCCAATAAAATTGCGTCGACTCTTATATCTCTACAAAGAAAATTGTTTGAGGATACTTGCTTCGGGCCATGGCTGAAAGTACAACATTCGAGTGGATGCTATGTTGACATATTTGTTTCTTCAGACCATGATTAATGATCTACCCGAGAGGATACAACGTGGTGATGAAGAGATATGATTTCATTTCCTCCGGCGTATACTTGTTTTGGGCGGAAGGAGTTTTTCTTAATCACTGGTCTACGCTTCGGACACGATGAAGTAACCCGGTATACTAGTCATATCTCCCGCCCATCATGGTTATCTCAGGTTTTTCCTGAGCTGGAAAAGTCGAAGACGAGTTTACACGTCGATGACTTGAAGAGATTATTTGTTAAAGATGGTTTTACTCGGATGGATGACCTATTTCTGAGGACCTAATATTATTGGTAGATGACCTAAATGCATGGAACCTATTTCCGTGAGGTTCATATATATGGAAAGTTACCTGGAAGAAGTTGTCGTCTGCCTTTGAGGACCGAAAAAGTTTGCAGGGCGATGGTTCTAAATACACTTTGGCAGGCTTTATTTGGGCCTTTAAGGTTAGAATTTCTATATAATGTTTCCAAATTTATAATTAATTATTTAACAATTACTGATGTTTATGTATTATATTGTTTGTAGATTTGGATATTTGAAGCTTTTCCCAGCATGCGGACATATGCGATAAAAAATTCAAATGATATTCCTAGGGCTATTACCTGGAAGAGGATCCGCATGTTGGATTGGGAAGAGTTACTACCATATACGACGATGAATGATGTAAGTTAACACATAAATATTACCATATAGTTAAACAAGTTATTACTAGTTCACGTTTAACTTTGTTTGAGCCTTTATATTGTTAGGAGGCCAACTATCCATTACAGAGGCTGACACCCACAAGGCTGAGCTTTCCACTAATTGGTGGCAAGCTAGTAAGCGGTTTTTTGATGGGACGGATGATAAGCACCCCCACTTCGAGAGCCATCACCTGATCGGGCCGATTCTACAGCTCGACACTTGGAGCCATCACCTGATCGAGCCTCTTCTCCACCTCCACCATCACCTATTCCATCACATCATCGAGCCTCTTCTCCACCATCACCTCATGATAGGCGATCGGCAAAGAGGTCACGGCATTTATCTCCATGTTCTCTACCTCCACGGGATGAGTTAGGGGAGTTACGTGATGAGGCGGCTTTGCGTCATGAGGTCGGTACTTTACGTGAAGATAATGGTGCATGGCGTCATGAGGTCAGTACTTTACGTGAAGATAATGGTACATGGCATGATGAGGTACGGTCTTTACGTGGTGAGGTGGATGTTTTACACGATGACAATGGTGCGCTACGTGATGAGGTATCTACTTTATGTGATGAGGTAGTTTCTCTACATGAGATTGTTTCATCGTTGCAAAATGAGGTTCATACTCTACGCAATGAGGTAAATTTGTTTAATACTATACTAAAAATGCAAATAATATTTTTTCGGCATTATTTATTTATTTATTTACTGATTTATGTATTAATTTATTTTTAGCGGTCCGATAAGGTAGATGCTTTACGTCGGGTTTTTCTTGCACGACAGGGTTTACACAGACGTCGTGCACATGCCATTACGTCTCATTTCACCAAGAAGCCCGATTCACCTGTCATCGTTCAAGAGGTGCCTCCTATCGTTCAAGAGGCTCTTCTTATCGTTCAAGAGGCCCTCCCACCGTTCAAGAGGCCCATGTTATCGTTCAATGGGTCCCTCCCACCGTTCAAGAGCCCAATTCACAACACTTCATTTGTCGACATATTGATAAACCCCCTCCCGTGCCCGATATGATGGATGCGTATTGGCTTTCATATGAGTTACCGGCCAGTACCATTCCTCATGAGGAGAGGGAAACACTATCAGACACAATTACGGATAATACCCTTTGGGCTAAGACCGCAGTTGATTTTTATCTAGATGAGCGGAGCCAAGGGTGTTCTGACATATGCAAACTCGACGATGTTATACATTTGTTTCTTGATCGGTCTTGGTGGGGTATTTTATTAGGGGTTGAAGATAATGGCTATTTCGAAGGGGGTAAGTCTTATATTCTTCTTATATTCATTTTGATTAATTTTTTTAAAATTTATTAATAAATTCACTAATATATGTATTTTGTTATAAAACAGCATATTGATGCATGGGTGTCACATCTTCTAGTAATA